AAAAAAAAAAAAAAAAAAGAAAGAAAATAAAACAGGTGCCTACTCAGAACGTAACTAGTTTAGGTTTCTGGGCAATTTCTCATCTTTGCCTTCTTCACCAAGCTCTGCTCACACGGGGATTAGTGATGAACACAACATGACTTTCAGGGCTTTCTCCTGTAGGATTTCTTGAAAACTAAGTAACACCAAGTCACACATGGATAACATGGATTCGGTATATGATGAAGTATTACAATCTTGATAATTGTATCATATGGGAAGGATGTTTTTTCAAAAATTATCATTAAAAATATTCCAGTAACAGAACACTGGATAATAAACTTTCAGAGCTCCTCAGTGCTCTCTCCATACAAAAGAGTTCAAAGATTAAAAGACTTCACAAAATGTTAAGTTAAAAATGGATTTCCAATTCAGGCAAACCAGAAGTGCTGAAGAAATCTCTTGATTAAAATAACTCCCAATTTAAAATAACTGTAATTTTATATAATGTACTGTTGAGCTAACTCAAAATCATATTCTCTGTATGTCTCTCTCTCTCTTCCCTGCGCGTGCGTGCATGCGTACATGCGTGTAGATGTTGGCAGCACATCCAGGCCCCCAAAGTACAATTTCAGAGAGGCCAAACCTAAGGAAGAAAGAAGCCAGGAGAGGCTGCCAGGTGCCCGGTGTACAATCCTATACCACAGGGTTGCCACTCAACCCATGGGCATGGACTCCTGACTGGCTGCACAGGACATGGCGAAGGAAGGAGCAAGGGCCTGGAACATGGGAGATCCCACCAAAGACTCCTGGGAAAGGACTTCATGCTCAATGTAACTTGGGGTAAGAAGCCAAATGAAACAATGGCTTTCTGATCAGTGCAAGGCTAGAATTACTGCTCTCCGATTTGATGGCCATGAACAAATTCATGCTATCTATGTCATTTATTTTATTTAAAAAAAAATAAAGGAGGAAAAAAGAAAACCACTGCAGAGAAGGTCAGGAAAAGCAGATCTAGGGTGCCAGTGTTTCCAGGCGAACAGCAGAAGTCAACGCATCTGAAGGCAGCCAAGGACGGCCGTCTATAAAATTCTGATTAGACAAACATTTCACAATAACAGATTACCAAGTCACAAGGAAAGCAGACACTACAAGTCAGGTTTAACAGACACGGGTTGCAGAATTAGACTCAGCAAAGCTCCAGATACTCAATAAGTTAACATACAGTAATCCATCATAATTAAGGTTTTAAGGACAGGAAAGAAAAACTTGGGAATAGAGGGAAACGTAATAGTAAGAAGACATGTGAAAAATAAAAGCAGACAGCTTCCTATTGATGTTCTAGTTGGATTACGCAGTAGAACAGACACAGTTGAAGAGAGAAACAGGAAATGGATAACACTGAAGGTTCCCAGAATGTGGTCAGAAGGCCCAGTTGTAACAGACACAAAAGCAGCATGGGAAGTATAATGGAGAAGAACTTTAGAGGCTTGGTTAGATGCTAACCTTCAGATCTAGGAAGACCCAGAATGCCAAACGGAATGAACAAAACCAAATTTCCCCCTGCATACACCGTAATGAGACTGCTCAACAGCGATGACAGAGACCCTTCAAAGAGAGCAGCACAAACAAGAAGGCAGGATAAATCACCCACGACAACAAGGAGTCGTCAGATGCCAGACTTCTCATCAGCAATGGAAGCCAGAGCATCCACGTGCGGGAGAAAATTCTAAAACTCGACACCCATAAAAATGCCACTGGAAGAGACAAAAACTGAGTGTACATAGGCCAAAACAAAGTTATCCTAAGAGGAAGGTGTGAAGATTGAGGAGTAAATATGGAAGAGAGATAAACTAGTACAGAAAGATTGTTGTGATGATGCCTAATTTATAGGGGTGAGAAAATAAAAACAAGCCAGCTCCACTTCTGAGGATTCATATTATGTAGGAAGGGGGTAAGAAAGCTTGCTTTAAGCTGTGTGGAGTGTGCACAAGAAATGATCTACAATAATTACTAAGAAGCACATTCACAGTGTTGCTTGTACACAATAGAAAAGTAAACAGGATGCAGAACGGAGGAAGAGAAAGAATATAATACAGAATGAAAAGAAGGAAGCACACCGGACATGGTGGCACACACCTTTAATCCCAGTGCTAGGAGGCAGAGGCAGGGGATCCCTGTGAGTTCAAGATCAGCCTGGCCTACACAGGAATTCTAAGTCAGCCAGGGCTACATAAAAACCCTGCATCAAAACAAAACAAAACAAGACAGAAAAGAGCCACCATTTATGACTCATTAAAAAACCCATCATTTACAATACACAAAAACCAAAATGGATTAGGAGCTGTAGGGATAGCTCAGTGGTTAAGGGTGCTTGCTGGGGCTTGCTGTCTAATCATGTGGACCAGGGTTCAGATCCTAGCACCTGCAGAGCAAGCCACGCATACAGCAAACACTTGGAACTGCAGCTCCAAGGAAGCCAGCATCTTCTTCTGACCTCCATGGCACACAGACCCATACACATACATGCTCATCCACCCTCAAAGACCCAAACATACAAATAACTATTTTAAACAGAATAGGAAGTAAATAAAACAGCATAGAGAACATTGCTAATATATCAGTGACTGCAATAAATTAAAATGAGTAGAACTGTCTTTGAGTAAAAGATAAAGACAATCAGGTTCTTAGCAATGAGAGCCTGATGGTGCGTCCCTGCAACCACAGTACTCAAAGAGAATTGTAGGTTAAGGCTAGCCTGGGCTACATGGTGATGCTCTGTAGGGAGAGGAGAGTAAGGTCAGGAAAGAGAGAAGAGAGAACAGGAAAGGGAAAACAGGAAGAAAAGTTATTACATTAAATATACCAAAAACATTCAACAATAAATAAAAATAATAAATAACAAAACATGTACAAAAAGCTGTCTGAGGAAAGCTACAGAATCCTGACGAGGCCAGAGAAGGCACACCGCAGCAGTCTTCTCATCCACATGGAGCGTGTTCCTAGGACTTCCCATGGATGCCTCAGATGTACAATACTAGACCTAGTGTGGTTTTTCCCTACAAACACATTCTTGTGGTAAACCTCCCTCTTCTCACTTACAAGGACACACTGGCAGTTTCTCTCTGTAATGTTCAAATTGCCAGTAACACTGCTTGCAGCATTACTAAGTAAAACTGGCCTTAGTCGAACAGAAACACGGCCTGGACAGTCAATCCGTAACCAGAGGACTGTTAGCTGACCAACAGGTAGGTAACGTGCACATGTATCGATATGCTGAACAAAAGGACAATTCATGTCCTGGGCAGGACAGTGTGACATTTTATCATGCCACTCAGAATAATGAGAAACTTAAAGCCTATGAGTTGTTTATTTCTGGGATTTTCCATTTAATATTCTCAGACGATGACTGAATGCAGGTAATCAACTCCACAGAAAACAAGGGGGAGGCTACACATGTAAGAGAGGGCGTCCATGTTCACAGACAGAGCAGTTAGTAAGATGAGATCTTCCCAACTTCGTCAAAAATCCCAGCACACTAATATGTGGCTTTCAACCAAATGATCATAAAGTTTATATGAAAAGGCAAAGATCCCAGAATAACCAACACTATCTCAATGGAGAATACAGTCAGAGAACTGGCACCATTTGACGTGAAGAATTAATCAGAACAGTGTGAAAGAGCAATTGATTGCTAAGGAACACACCCAAAGTTGACCTCTGGTACACACGTGTACACACACACACACACACACACACACAGAGAGAGAGAGAGAGAGAGAGAGAGAGAGAGAGAGAGACAGAGACAGAGACAGAGAGAGACAGAGAGAGAGACAGAGAGAGAGAGATCACTGTAAAGGTGGGAAAATGCCAGAGGAACACATCCATACAAGTCAAAGGAGCCCAGCAAACACACACAGCACCTACCACACAGCATCAGGAATGTCACATCAAAACAATACTAGAACAGTGATAACCCATGGGCATGGGGTTGACCTCAACAGATATCCAAGGATCGTCATTCTATGAACAACTCTTTCATAAACAGCTATCCACAGACTGAAAAGAAAATCAAACTCGATCCTTATCACACACAAAATCAATTCTGGGTAAACTGGAAAATATGAAACACAAAATCTTAAAAAAAAATGTTTAGGAAAGAGCATTATGGTTTCTGTCTCATGGAAAAAAAATCTTAATATAAAAAACTCAAGCCATGAAATGTTTTATTCTTTGACTACATAAAATTAAGTCTTCTCACCAAAAATATGTCAGAAAAGTGAAGACGTGTCATCAGCTGGTACATATTCGTAACACACAAACCAACGAAAGATTCATTCCCAAAATATACAAAGAAACCTTCAAATTAGCAAGACAGGAAGCAAATCACCCGAGAGAACGAACCAGAGGCTTAAGCAGAAGAAAGGAAACGTGTGTGTCCCACAAACTGAAAACTGAAAGGACCAACTGCTTTCACGTCAACTAATTAAAGTCTGGAAAATGCAAATTAAAGTCACAACCAAGTACTGTTTAAATCTGGCTGAGCGGCAACTATTCCCACGCCAAACACGACAGCAGTTGCCGAGGTGAGGCGGAGCAGGGCCTCGTCAGTGGCTGCGGGGCCTATGCAGTGCAAACACCTGGCGGGGATGGTAGCCATGCTTCCCAACCCCGGGGCAACGTCTACACGTGTGCGCAGCAGCACACCTTATAATAAGGGAAAACAGGACGCAGCAAAAATGACCGTCACATATTTCACTGAAATGCTAAGAAACAAAATAGCAGATAATGGAAACAAAATATTGTTTACTGTTACAGCGGCATACGGCAGAAAAGATCAAGAAAATCAAAGGAATTATGAATGCAAAATTCAAGGCTCGTAACCTTAGGGCTGCGACACACAAAAAGGGAGGCAGGGGAGACTGAGATGGGAACTCGGGGTTTCCACAACACAGCTGGGAGGCAGGAAACAGAAACGCTCCGGGCTTACATGCACTATACAGAGGCATTTCAGACGCTCTTTGATAGAAAGATATTGATACAGATACTGAACAACAGAAACACATTCCAATGAGTGAAAGTGGAGAAATACTTTAAACTGGGTTTTAAAAACATCATCTTACCAGGATAAGAGTGATTCTGTTTATTTGAAGATATTTCTGAAAGTGTATCCAGGGAATCTGATAGTCTGTGAATAAAACAAACAGAGCACGCCTCGTTAGATGTCGCTGGTCTTTTGGTTACGGTGGACTCTCAAATGCTGCTTTCACATCAACTGGTATTTGTTACCTCATCCATTCAACAAGCATTTACTGGGCAGCCACGCGAGCCAGGACAGAGCTTTACCCCAGCATGAGAGACGGGTGGGGCCTCACTACCAAGGACAGGTAGCATGGACAATTTAGTTCATTTGAACCGGGGACCTGACTTCCCACATTTATTTGCTTGGTAGCGTTTATGGATCTGGGAATTGAACCCGGGCCTTTGGCACATGATAGGCAAGTACCCTGCCACTGTGCTGTACCCGGGGCCCTGCTATTATCTGTAGTCATTGCTGCTATTTTCTAGTACTAGGAATTGGACACACGGCGACATCTCATTTTCCTTTGGAATTCTATCTTCTAGGGAAAAACTAAAAAATATGGAGATAAGCTTATGTTATACCAAGTTTAAAATTATTAAAAAAAAATCACCAATTCTGATATTGGGAAAAAGAGAGTGGCTG